AGAGGAGCCGGCCTGGCTGGCTCGATAGACGGAAAAAGTGTAGGAATCAAATCTAGCTAACGAAGTGACTATCCCGATTTTTCTCGGGATTTATCGTTCGCTGATTTTTACGATGGAGAACGAACGTTTGACTGCTCACCATAAAACTTTAAAAACATTTAAGTGGAGTACCTTTTTCTTTTAGAAGGAGGAGAAACGCGAACTGGTGGACGTCTAATTTTGTGTCCTGATCTATGCATTCCCCCTTCTTTGTATTTAACTACTTTCTTAGAAACGAGAGTAACGTTCGTAACGTAAAACAAGGGAAATTTTTAGAGAAAAGAATTCTCATTTTGTTTTGCATTATGCTGCTATTTCGCTGCTTCCCATTTTTTGTCAATGAATCTTCTATGCATTTGGAACATAATTAAAATCTGAACGAAGTATCATTCGATATAAAAGGAATTGCGTACGTAGAATAAAGACGTGTGATTGCAACTTCAACCAATTCGATAAGGATGGTCCGAACTATAACTATGATAATCGTTTTACTACTGCAGAGGCTGGTAACGATGGTATTTTAACGATAGAAGATGAAGCTCGAGGCTGTTGACCCTCGCACTCGAACGATCTACTTTGAGTTACGGCCAATTCATAACTTGACCGCCCGTTGCGATCGCATCGAGGCATACGCGAATCTCTCAAGTTGGGCCCTTTAATAACTCATTGGCAATATTACGCTCCGTCGAGCGTCGCGACACACCAGATAAATTGCACCGTCTACCAGACACCCTATCGTCTGTGAACCCTTTAATCCTCTGGGAAACCATTGACATCGACCAGCTTCATTACCTAAACCGTTATCACCATTTCCCAGCTCCTCGATACAGAACTCTCCTACGTACTTCGATCTCGACCAATGGCAGTTTTTATAATCGTCAGAAACTTTCATATTATGTGAAATGTACCTTCTGACGCGATAGCAAGACCAAAGTTACGGAACGGAAGAGCTATAATATTTATCCAAGTCTCAGTCATATCTCGACAAAGTAGAGTATAGAGTATGTAAATGAGGAGGGCATTTAGCCGATAAATTCCACTGGTTAAGAAGTATGGACGAAATTAATTAAGTACTTCTGAAGTATTCGAGATAGAAACAAATTGTATAAGACCATTTTTGTAAATAATAGCAGTATCTATAATTTTTACTTAAAGCATTTTCCGGAATTCCGAGAAAAAAAGATCTTCAGTCCTTTCGAGATACTCCGACCGTAAAATAAAATATTTGCAAATAACCACCCTTGTTTCGACTTTATGAAGCTTTGGAAAACGCGGTACTGAATAATCAAGGAATATGAAAGCTCGTTGACATTAGTTCTCATTAGAAATTGTCTGCAGTGAAAAAATGTCCAACGGAGCCCTGGTCGCTCATTTCCTTTGTTTTTTCGCCACTTTTCCACGTGGATACGAGAAGTATCACAGCGCGACCGCGTTGCACTAGCCCGGATGAAGAATCGAGCCCGTCAAGTGCACCGGCTATATTTTTTTATGCTTTCCGGTTCACTGACGAAAATTAACGATGCAAATTTTTCCGAGAAAGAAATTCGTCGGACCGCTCGTACGTCGCGGGATCGGAAATAAAAGCACAATAAAAAATGGAGACTGGCTCCATATTGAGTCACGTTACCATAAAACAAGCGAGAAAGAATGGGCAGGGGAAAAAGCGAAGATCGAGCAACGACTGCGCGTATAAAATTCGTACGTGAAATACAATTTTTATGTTCCATTAAAGATAACGATATTATATGAATGGAATTGTATACGTGAAAGGTCTTGCAAAACGTTAGTTGATGATCTCCTAAATGTTTGCTCTGGGCTGACCAGATGCGCTGTACCAGCATTAATTATAATATCAGCGATAATCCTGCAGCATAATGTTTGTTCCTAACACACGGCGACTACCCTTATTATTCAGCTGCACGTCAATTTGGATCAATCCCATCCTATCCGGGCCACGGCTTCAAAATAGATTACGCGCGCATTACGAACATATTGTGCTTTCATTATACGCATATTGGAAGATAAAGGAGAGGACGTTATGAAACAGTGAAAAAGGCTCGATATTTCTTAAACATTTCACTTGCAACGCGACCATAAGCATGCGGGAGAGAGTCTTCTTTTTACTCGAGAACTTTTACGATTCGCGACTTGGCACCGAGGTGTCAATACTTGGAAGTTAGCTATAAAATTCGAACGACACTTATTCCAAAAGATTCCCAAGTTTCATGGTAATTGATTTCGCTGGGAGAGCAAGGGTGAAACTACGCGTCGATATCATAACGTCTTGCTTCGACAACTTTCCATTCTTTCGACTTACCTCGAACAAGCGCAATGACGTGTTCTATAAAAATTGCGGAGTTCCCCTTCAATCGCGTTACATTTAAACGCCCAGTTGAACTTGTGGTCATGAGTACCAGAGAATACTCGCCACCAGATATTTCAGAATATAAATTATTATATTTATTGCATGATACGAACAGTTTCAATCATGCGCATGGTTTATAAAAGTTCACAGGATGAAAGGAAATTCCATTTTTCATATTAGGCGATTGAATTTATAATGGGCAGTCACGGAAGGAGTGAAAACGATATGTGAATGGAAAGAATGCGATCAATTACGCCGTTGTATCCGTATACCCAGCTCATCATCGATCCCATGAAACTGGATATTGCGTAAGAAAAACCTGCGACACTGTACTGTTAGAGGTTTCCTGTGAAGTGTAAACCAATCCTTACAAAATCGAGTTCCTTGGAATAAAGCGAGATGAATATTTGAGCGACACACGTCTCGAATCCAACCCGCGTTTCAACCCTTTGACAATAAAATTTGATTCAATTGATCCCGACTAACAATAAGCGAACATCACGGTCTCTAAATTGAACGAATTCAAACTGGCTGTAACATTACACGTGATATTCAATGAAACGAGGTATTCTCCTACGCGTGAATATCATTTGAACAGAATCGAAAGAAATTCGTGTCTCTTCAAAATCAATGAACCGTATTCTTATCGAGGTAAACAGAATATCCGTTAACGAACGTGGGACGGATCGCTATAATAAAATGCGCGTCGCCGTTAAACTCGAACGTGGTTTTATTGCAGCTTAACGAGCCCTGAAATTTATGACGCGATGAGATGCACCGTAAAACGATACCGGGGAACGATTATTAAAACATTTGGCCGTCTTTGGTAATAGCGGCTGATTCCAATAGCTTGCAATTAGGCTTGTCAGCGCGTCAGCTTTAATCTTAGCAGACCCCCGGGCTAATAATCCGACTCGATATACACGCCGAAATCGCTTACTCTCCCTGCTCTCACGACAACCGTGTTTAAACCGCGATTTCTCCACTTTCTTTTTCCCACTTCAAACTTTATGACCAGCGTAAAATCAACTGGTCTCACAACCAAGTAATTAATTTCTTCTTTCGCGTGACGCTTGTAAACTCTATATTACTAATTTGTGGGACAACTTCATTCATTAGGTTGATTACGCGGCAGAAAACCTTGACAAATTATCGGAGAACTTAAATACCTATTACACGTATGAAAGTGTTTAAAATATCGAAACTAGGATGGACGTTGCAATATTTCTAATTAGATCACATAAGTATTTAATTACTCGTAATAAAAAGGTCGCAGAATTCCCCACGTTACCAGCAAAGGTTTGTCTCTATAACAAAATCAATTATTCAAAGCGCGGGAGAACATGTTTGTACAACCACGATCGATGAGAAAAAGAACGAGCGAAACCTGGGTTGCTCTGTCCCGGAAATTCACGAAATAAATTTGCATCGCAACGTGCATCGTAATTGCACACCCTTTGTTTTTTTTAAAACTGGCCTCGTCGAGTTTCGCCGAAAAAAGTCACCGCGCGAACGGCCCGTCCGTGTTTACAGAATTGTTCCAATTTTTAGCAAACGTTTTGTTCCCACGAGCTCCACGAGCATGGACCGTGTCGATATAACGGATAAAGAGAAATAAGATACGAGGAGAAACGTGAAACAATGCTCGATCCATCGTTCGTTCAACTGTGTACCCATAAAACGGGGACAGAACAAATAGGAACGTTCCTATAATTTTGTTATTAATTTTTCATGCGCTTTCAAACTTCGTCACTTTTGTTAAATACACGAAGATTTCTTCGTTTCGGGACGAATATGGCTTAAGAATACTATTTTTCTATAAGAGTATAAAATCGCCAATTTAATAATTACATCGATTTATATTTGATTGAAGTAGAATTAATTAACATGTACATTTTGTAGGTACTTTTTAGTACACCTGCTGTACCATACCTTTTTAGTACCATGCTTTGGTGTGAATGTGCAATTATAGACCTCACCGTTTTGCATGCTTTCACTCTGAATTAATTTCTGTAGCTAATTGGACCTCTTGCTAGTTTTCTATGAAATGTATGCACGTAAATTACCCGGAAATTAACAGTCCAGGTAATAACGAAAACGATTGCAAACTAGTAGCTTGTTAACAACATCGAGCATTGTATTATTAACAAGCGAAATCAATTTTGATTACCTACGCGTAATCACGTTTCGAACGCGAGAAGAGGATATAATTAGAGTCGAACTCTACCGTAACTCGAGTATCTCATTGACGATTCTTCGGCAGAATTCAGTTTAATGCTCGACACACGTGACGAACTGGAAGAACAAGTTCCCGTCACCCCGTTTGGCCATTAAATGGTAAACTGCTTCTTAACCGGCTCGGAACAGCTGCTCGTCGCAATACGGAAACTGTTTAGCAATATATTTATTTTTATTAACGGGCAAACTCTTCCCCGTTTTTAATTAAAAACTGTTGCAACAATTTTTATGTCGCGAATATAACGCCTCCTCCTTTATTTTTTTGCGTTCAAAGTTGGACACCGACAATTACCACAGAGTCTCGGGATAAACTGTTCGTGGTTTCGCTATTCCAGTTAATGGCCCCGTCCCTCTACAGTTTCAGAATGAACGCGACAGCGACCTACGCGAGTGCAACGAGTACTTTGACCGCAATTATAGCCACCGAGTCCGAGATGAGAATGGAAGATCCGCTAGACGCCGACCTTGATATTTCTCCGGTCACCCTGTCCTCTACTTGGTCAAGGGTGGGCAGATTACTTTTGTTAACATCGATGTCCGTAGCAGGGAGCGTCGGCAACGTCTTCATGATATCCGCCATCGTGGTAGAAGATCAACTCAAGAAACGAGGTAACCCTCGTCATTTACTTTTACTATTTATATTACTACCGCGAAATCTCGTCAAAGCATATTGCCTGATGAAAGCAAGCTGAGATACTACCGTTCAATGATGTTCAAAACATTATAGCAGAGCTATTCTAATGTAATGCTATTTGTACTTAAACAAATGTTATTTCTATAGATAGAATTAAAAATTGTTTGGAAAAATGTACACCAAACCAGAGATATGAAATATCTACCATCTCTTAAATCCATCTATCTCAAATCCTTTAAATCAATTTCTGTTAATTTAATGCTTGCGGAAACACCTAGATTCTCGTAAATAGTAGAGAAGTACGTGACAAAGGAAGCAGATATTCGTCTCATCCAAAGCTCTTCTGTAAAATCGTTCCTTTTTATCCCCATTCGCGAAAAGATCCCTTTTGCTCGGTACCGCGTGCAAAAGGACAAAAGCCTCTCTTACGCATGGATATGGCGTCGCGAAGGATAATACCAAGGAAGGAAGCGCTCTGTGATTCTTCTATTTTCGTTGTCCAAGATAACCAAAGACCTCTCTTCCTTGATATTTATTGAACAGATACGGACAACCATTGTGGTAACGGAAGCCGCTATCTCTTTTTAACATTCTAACGACATTCTTAAAAGGACTGTCCACTGGCAACACAAAAATACTACCAACGGCTACGATGGTAAACGTTTCATCGCTCGAAATATTTAAAGATGTATTGGCTATACAGTCAATCCCATAAGTTTATGTACCTTAGAAAAACGCATTTCCTATGATTAAAAAGAAATCAGACGTCGAAAGAACAATGCTAATAATAAATAGCTACATGCTAAAAAGTACAGAAGGAAATATCCAATTAAGTATTGACGCTGACGAAAATATTTTTTTTCAAAATTGCGAAAAATGCTTCAAATAAAAGTTATTTTCCTTCTAACTTCGATATTTAACGAGTTACGTATGATTATTTGGCATTTTATTGATGTTGACAAAATCCGACCATTCCACCGTCGAAACGGCGAACTTTTGACGAAAAATTTCATTTTTCTTCAATAACTCCTAAACCGTTGGTCCTACGGGAAAATTGCATAAGATCTTTCTTGTAGAGGACGACGAGATCTACAATTTCTGTATAAAAGTTTGTCGCTAGCATTAATAGTTTACGAGTTATTGACGAAAAACGAAAAAACAGTTTTTTGCAAATAACTCGTAAACTACTGACGCTAGCGAAAAAATTTTACATGGAAATTGTAGATCTCGTCGTCCTCTACAAGAAAGATGTGATGCAATTTTTCCGTATGTCCAACGGTTTGGAAGTTATTGGCCAAAAACGAAAATTTGGAAGAAATTGAAGGGGTACCCCTTGGAAAAATCTCAGAAAAATCGAAAATTTTTTTTTTGTTGTTTATTATTAGCAATGTTCTTCCGACGTCTGATTTCTTTTTAAAAAATGCGTTTCTAAAGTGCATAAACTTTTGGGATTGACTGTCTAGCCAATACATCCTTAAACACGCCAGAACAGTAAAACACGAAATGAATCAGTGATAATTTACGAAATGATTATTGATCGATTCCATCAATTAACGCTTCGTATTGGATGGAAAAGTTCTTTGTCGAATAAAAATGAATACAACTCGAATGGAAGATGAAACGAGATCAATGAAACTTCGTATAAGAATATCTGTAGAAAGGTGAATTGTCTTTTTAATTACTTCGGGAACGAGTTTGAAAAATTTCTTTCTTTTACGACCTGTTTCGTGCCAGTACAATCTACTTCTGTTCGTTTCCGGTTACCCGCCCACCGGAGGGATGGGAAACTTTCGACGAGGAAACGCTTCCACGAAAGATTGTCACCGGTACTTCGTTGCACGTGAATCTTGATAGGGACGTAAATAATTCGAAGTTCCCGTAGCGACTCAGCAGGAAAATTTCGTCTCGTTTCCAGCATTACCTCGACTATAAACTTGCTCTTACGCAACTCTTCGAGCGACACCCCGAGACCGTAATCATCGGCTTGCTTGTAACTGGGAAAGAGACCATCCATCCGATCTACAACGATTCAGCGGCAATACCAATACCAATAAACATACGTATCCTGTAACGAGAATCAGACCCGGGAATCCTGCCTTACGACCACTTTTAGTACCAGAGCCTACCATACACTATGTTATTTCACATAATCGATAACACCCTTGGCAAATGTATTCCATTTCGAAATAAAAGCACCTGCTCAGAACCGTATCATATCATAAAAAAGTATCAGAACGTCGTTAAAACACAGAGATAACTCAGCCGTACTAAAAAAAAAAATGCTATTCGTTTTCTCATAACAATTAAAAGAATATACAGAAGATGGAAACGCTGCGATGCACGAGAACATTAAAAGTGAACGCATATTGCGAAGAAACGAATGTTGTTTACTGCTTCTCTACTCGGATTTATTTACGACGTATCGATTCGAAATTGCGAAAGAGATTTACGCATTTCAAAGATCTCTGCTCGGGATTAGCCCGAGACGAACGCTGGTATACCGAGTCGAGTACGCGGACTAATTCAAGTACAATCGACTCCTGCGCTATACGCGTGGTAATGCCGTTACGCTAAATCGATTTCCGTGAGTATTAGGATTCACTTACAGTTGTCGAAGGACAAGGAAGCCCTCAGGATATAACATATAACTGCGATACGATACGTTTCACACAGTCCAATTAGTCCGGTACAAATAATATTCGATTATAATCGTATTGCGAATTATTACGCGAAATAAAGGACGTTTAAAAAATTTAGGTATAAATTCCCTTCGTCATTCAAGTATTGTGCATTCTCATGCACATTGAATGCAAAAAACTCAGAGGCTCGTAACAATGAGAAAAATTTGAATCCGATATCAATTAATTATGAACTTCTGATAATTGGCGATTGTCAAGGAATAAGGATCTCGTAGGTAATGGTTCGAAACGAAACGGGACAGGAGTACTTGAACCCATTAACAAGCAAATCGATGGCTATCGCCATAAAAGAGCTCGTCGCCCGAATCGACAATAGATTTATTCGACTTTGTTCGCGGATCCAGGAAAAATGTAAATCCCGTATTCACGGTCTGCCCGCGTGCACCGCACCGGCCAGTGAATGCCGTTGGTACTCCAGAACGATTGAATACAATAGAGCTCGCAGCGACAAAATCTCTCTGACAGGAAGACGAAGTGTCGGAAAAGCTACGCGAATCATTCCCCTCTCTTTATTCCAACTAACAAAACCTAACTCAATTTTTTAGATCGCTACGTACGTATAGAATGATACTTCAAAACTTCCATTTTTTATCATTTAATACCCAGATCACAATAACTGCGGATTCTTTCGAAGTTCATCTTTAAAATAATTAGAAAGCGTTATGCAAGATATTGCAGTCAATTTTCTTAGCTGTATCAAACTCGTAGCCTGGTAATCATCAATCCAGATTATGAAGAAGGTATCAATGCGTATAACACCGAATGAAAGCCAAGTTTTGCACAGAGCTGTGACGCAATACTTGCAATTAGATAAGAACTAATAAAGTTCATTTAGCGTTTCAAGTTCGTTAACTCGAGGGCGAATTTTCCTGAAACTGTGTATGAAACTCGAAACGCGAGAGACTATCTCCTGTTCACGGCTCATAACTCGAATCATTAACACGCTCGCGGTATCGATACGTCTGCTATCAGATTATAGCAGTTAATGAGAAGTTAGTTTAGGAATGCCAGCTAGCTCGATATGAGTAACTTCTGATTTACGGAACGCACAGTTTACTACCCAGGAACCCTTTAACATGGCAATCAAACAGTACACTTGCATCGATCTCTCAACAATCCATTACCAAAAGCTAATTTTGGAAACACTGCCGGCGATAAATGTTGTAATCAAAATTGATGCGACATTTCATAGAATAATTGTGCTGATGCTTGATATCAAATATTTGATACAACGTTACACGTAATAATTTATATCACGTTCCGTATAATACTTGATAGAATGCTCGTATGCAAGCATAGTTGCGTTCGTTTGCGTAATTTAATTTTAAGACTCGTCAGATTGCAGAGAATCCTTGGATGCATGAACGTTCAATCGATCACTTTGACTGTTCCCCTTTGACTTCGATTAAGTACTAATCTCACTGTTGCAGGAAATGCATTTCTGGTTAACGTGGCATTGGCGGACTTGTTGGTAACAGGCCTCGTGATACCAGTATCCGTAATCGTCATACTAGCCGGGCATGAAGAGTCATTGAGTACATGCCGATTCGAATGTACTCTGGAAGCCCTTTGCTTCCTGGTCACGGTGCTAACGCTGGCTACTATAGCAGCCGAAAATTATACTCGTTTGTGTCTACCGCCCGAAAGGTAAGGATCATAATTCACGGTATACGCGTGGTTTACGCATCCTACTATTGTCTCGAACGGCCATTCATTTGAATGACAATGGTTTCGTACGATAGATAGACTACGAGCAAGTTACACTCGAAGGTTTCGTACGAATTAAAAACGACGGAAATATTTTCTACTATTTTTTTGTACTCGAGAAAAGGCAGACTTGCATGTATATTAAAAATACTTGGAAACGAACAACCTACTCTTGCTGAATGAATGATTCTCTGATTACATGCATATTAAAAGAAAATACGGAGTCGAAGGTAACGGTATGGACGAAGCGATTATAATAATTTTTTTTTAAAACTGGGAACGATTTTCAATTTTCGCTTATATATCTCTTTGCTTCGTTTCATTTGAAATTTTATGTAATACATACATACACACGTATTATCCCGTTGCGTAAATCGTAGAGGTTTTTAGTTGAAACAAACAGTACGTAGTCGTCGCTAATAACGAATCTAAGACCCTAATCTTTCTTGTTAATAAACACGTCCAATCATTCCAATTAATGGTGAAAAATACGAAAGGCAATCATAAAGATATACATATGTATTATCTCTGTGAAGGCAATCCGGTTCAATGTAATACCATTCTAATCCGATTAATCGTTAAAGCGATTATTTCATGATCCGATCGCAATCAACTGAGAACATAACAAACGTTGGTTTGACCTAAACCATAGAATTATAATGAACAATGCCTCTAACCAGTGAAATTTTTTTATTCCTAATTAATCTCTTAGGTAATCTATTTTAATAGCGATCTAATTAATATTGGAGCAGACTGAATCGATAAAAACGATCGTGCAAAATAATTCCTAATGGCAATTCTGATTCTTTCTTGATGTATCGAATTCTTATTGAAAATTATTGAAATGGACACGGTGGTCATGCGAAATGGTTGAAATGGAAAGGGAGCAAAGTAGAGGATCGTAGCGCGATCGTTTCTGTATACTATAGTATATTCGCTACACCTTTCGCTTCGCCGAGCACTAACAGAACGGACCGTAATTTCGAGCACTATTGTTGCCAACGGCAATACGGTCGCCGGGGATTAAAGAGCTTTCCACGAAGAGAGAGAGAGAGAAAGAAGCTTTGAACCATGCACGTATACAGCCATACGGTAGTTACTGATCTACAAATTCCTGCATGCACCCGCTTGCCGATAAAAAACGATATATAGATGCACGACAATTTTAGAATTTTTCAAATATTTCCCAAGTCAATTTAGAAAGGATTTTTTGACTCACGCTTACGGGGTCGTGGAGATTTTATTTTAATACCGCCTCGCGTGTAGCTTATGTCCTAGAGAATTATTCGAAGCTCTTTCGTCGCTTCCGAGACGACAACATCTCTTACTTACAGGAGACTCTCTCTCTTGAATAAATCCTGACACTGTATTTATTGTGTCGAAAAAAAAGAAAGAAATTGAAATGCACGGAAGCGGCGGATGCAGTGTAAGTATTGTACAAGAGCACGAGAGCAAGAGTAGTTTCTACTTGATCAAATTTTATGAAGATATGCTTGCGAAAGATTTACGATCGTTTTACGAAGTAGATAAATCACATTATCGCAGGATAACAATATATACAGTTGAGAAATTAATAGGTGCAGCATGCTCAGCAATTCCGATCTTTACCCGGCTGTCATCATTCACATTTAAGATTAATATCGTAATGGACTTTGCCCATCTACGAACAAATCAAGATATACCTGCTTTTTTTATCGTTCGCCACTTTTATCTATGATAGATTCGTTTGGAACACGTTTCACCGTCTATTTTGTCAAATTTTCATGTATACCCAGGAACGTCAACGACCATCAATGAATATTAGGTATAACCACAGCAGGCAATCTTTCTAATAGTAATTCTGTTCGCAACGCTGCTATTGCATCTCGTCTGTCACTCGTTGCGACGGAGAATAATCGATGGTCGTTATCGTGGAACACATTCGTGAAATGTATTGAACGACGCACGGGTTGGGAATCTGTTCTGGCAGCGGACACTTTGACTTTGACGTGGATCCGGTTCTCCGGCTGCGAAATCACGAATCGACTACCTAATTTTGCATTCTAACTGATGGTTTCCCGTTGCTTGACTTCGCGAAATTGCTGCTAACCGACGCGACACGGTTGAAGTTTTGCGAGCCCGCATCCGCTCCTCGACATGTGAGCAACCTCGCGACTCCACTATTAAATAATGTCTCTATGCTCGTTCGAGCTGTTAAATACTTGAAATTCCATGGATACCTCGCGGTCTACCTCGCCGACTTTGTCTCGAAAGTTACGCACGCCAAGTCCATTAACTTCGAACAATCCCATGCTTTCCCGATAATTCCCGGGGCAGATTGGAAAACCGTGAAACAGAAGCGAGACGCGTAACAGCATTTTGGCATTTAATTTCGAACGCCGTCGAGTGCCGAAACGCTTTTGCACAGATTTTAATTGCCGTTTTCACGTTGCCCCGCTGATTGCAGGTACGCCGCGCTGACGCCGACCCGAGTGACAGCGACAATAATCACCGTTTGGTTGATCTCGATAACGACGGTGGTCCTTCAATCCATGCTGGACGTCGGCCCGGACTTCTGCCGTCGACGCTTCAGCGGCATAGCCTTGGAGCAAATAATCGGCGCGACGATTCTAGTAGGTCTGCCGGCTTTGGTGATCAGCTTTCTGTACGTAAAGCTCGTGATTCGCGTAAGACACGCCACCAGAGGCTCGTACAAGCCGCCCGTAGCCTTCTCCTGGGACTACGAGCTGGCCAAGGCGAACATATACAGCTGCGTGATGTTCGTTATATTCTGGTTACCATTTGGCACCGTCGTATGTGTCAACTCTTTCCGACCGATAAGCGCCCGCGTCTTCTACAACCTCGCCTGGTTCGCCCTGTCCAAATCCTGCTTCAACAATCTTCTCTACTGCGTGGCGGATCGCCACTTCCGCAGCGCCTATGTCAAACTCTTCCATTACTGTTGCTGCAAGACCACGGTGAGTTTCTCGAGACGTACGCGCGAGGGTGGCCGGAACGCGAGCGACGTCCGCTTACGAGTTCATATAATCCATTCGTACGCGAGTCCTGGCGCCTCTCGTCCTCCCGTTGGCAGACCCAACGGACGCGACGTTTACGAGCTCTAAACATGCCCAACGATCGGGACGCAGCGGTGCGAGCTTAGTGGAACGCGGTAGCCAACTTTAAATGAGTTGAAATCCTCGGAGAGCTTCAAAAGCCAGGTCGACCGCGGATTCAACCGGTTTATGGTTTGTGGAAAACACAAAATGAATTCTTGCAATTACAAGGGCAATCGTTATTGCTTGGGGAAAATCCTATCCAGATATAATTTTCTAAGTTTCCTTAAGAATCCGCAGTCTGGCAATCGCGTGCACTAAGCAAATCCTGCTGTACTTGCAAAATGTATCCTCGTTGATACAGACGATCACCGTCCAAAACTTCTTTCGTTTCCGTTCTTGTCAAATGCTTGTGCGTATGATTACATCTGACAATTTAAATAAATTGTTTCTTTCTTCCGATACAGAAGAATCTTTCCTATTCGAATTAGAAGGAGCTAGGAGCTTCGTCTCATGCACTGTTGATTATGCACTCAGATCAGGGATGTTCATTCTATTACACAAAGCTGTGTTTGTTCCAACGGATCTGTTGCATCGGTGTATTAGATTCCAAATTACTCGTGTGCAATCAGCACCGTAACCAATGTTTCCGTTTGAATAGCGAATTGATAACATCGCTGGAAATTCGTATAATAGGTGTTCTACTGTACTACCGTTATCAACGATGATTATTTTAGCCAGCGAAACTGCAGTCAGATAATTTTCCTCCCAATTACTGCGTTCATTTATTAAACGAAACAGGTACTCCGTAAAATTGCACGCTTAATAGGCGGAGCAAGCCTGTTCTTCAGTGTTCTTCAGCAGGAAAGTACTTAACGCTTTGGCACTAAACATCTCTGTGTGATAGTCCCTTCTTCTATCTAAATGTGAATATTGTCCAGTCCATGGTGCTAAACGAGCATCGAAGTTCCGCGGTAGAGATCACGATTGACGCTGAAACGGGCAATCGCCGTCCATTGGAGAATATTGTCCTGTCTACTGTCCTGAAGGAGTCTTCCCTCCGTCTACTTATATGCATATTTCTTCCAGTTGCATTCTTCCAAGAGTCGACTGTCTCACAGTAGATTACACATCCAACGGTCTCGAGACAAATCGAATCGCGAGTTTTATATTTAATACAAAAATTTAGTTTCGTATTACAAGGACTTGCAGTAGATTTTCTATTTTTTTACATGCCAGCGTTTTGTATTAATTTGAAGATTAGTGCTAAGATTTGATGGCTTAAATAAACGCTTTACGCTTCGCGAGTATGTATCTTTAGATCATTAATGTATTCAATTTCTTAATCCTGATGTATTAAAATTGCAAGAAGCTACTCCTCGATCCTTTGAGTCTGATCGTGAATCACGATAATTTCTTTTTTCAAAACTAAATCTTGTAATCAGGTACATTGAAAAATAGTTGATCTCTGTGGTATGCCTCCCGGGCGTGGATCACCTTGAAATACCTTGCATTATCCGGTGTAATAGCTAGGCAAAGTATCGAGGGACAAGATCTAAAGCGCGAGGCACCTCAATAACACGTGGACGGAATTCGCGTGGAATATTCTGATGCCGTAATTTATACTGATACACTTTAGTGTTCAGTCTCGCACACGATTTAAGCGAAAGATATTCCTCGTTAAATTATTAACCGTAGCTAAATACACTCGACGGCTCGAAAGTAATATCGCTGCAACGCCTCGAAGGGTGAGATTTAGAAGGGTCCGGTATATATTCAGATGATTCACGCCGTTCCTACTGTGTGACGGAGTTAAATCGTCGCGGCTAAACCGTTCCAACGAAAATCAATTTCCACGAGGGAACGCGGAGAGCGAATGCAATTCCGTATTTTTCATTTTTCACTCGCCGAATCGTCAAAATGGATATTAAATCTACCCGGATTATAAAGCGTGCATATTAACGAATAACGTTTTTGGAAGTTAACTGAGAAAATCAACGGTACGCTGCTTCCCATATTTCGTACCATGTTAAAATCGGATTTTATAGAATTACAAAAACGTAAAACGTGCAGGCGATAAAGTTAACTGCAGTAATGAGAGAAAACACTGTATCAGATGCATCTCTTTAAGTGATATGAACATATCTCAAACATGGATCGAGGAAGCAAGTTTCTATAGGAAGAGAGTCTCGCCATTTAATTTTGCGGGTACTCTCGATCTACTATCGATGAGACCGAATTTAATTACGAAATTCTTGCAACTAATTGTTCGAATTATGCAATCTAGCTGCGCTCGTAACTAATCGAACAAAGTTTTTCCAAGAAGATCCAACAGTTGGAAACTTCCTACTCAACGAGTTAATTTAGTTGAAAAGTTCTTCTATCAAATGAAGTACCTTTGTACTATCAGTTGCATTCGTTTAATTGATATTTATTGCGTGCCTACAATTACTTCGTAACTTTCAACGCTATCAGCTCGTCCCGTGAAGTCAGATATCGTTGATTCATTTTATTTCTATCGACTAGGCCGTACGTGGCATCAATGTTAAAAGTACAAGTTCACAGAAACACGTCTATAAAACTTATGTAAACGGCCATGAGATTTTACCATTTAGAAATGTGTCCTAATTTTCAATCGATGAACTATGCTATACCATAAAAAAATCGACGAAGACTGTTTCAGAGAACATTTTTGGACAAATACCTAAACGTAGAATTTGTGAACACCAGAAAGGCGTATAGAGCGTACGAAGCAAAGAGCAAAACTAAACAGATACGACTGAATCTTAATATTATATATTAAACGCTATTCTTGAAACGAGAAGATAATTAATAAATACTACTTATACCGTGTTATGGAATTTCAATATTATAAAGGGCTAAAGAATTTACATGTTACTCGTTCGTACGATAGATATTTAAAATATATTACCAGATGTGAAGAGGAGCTACGTATTCAACGTTTTCGTTTCCACGGATTCTTAATCGATAAATTCATTTGTTCTTGGTAAAAGAAAAGATTCGTGGTAGGAAACGATATTCGGTATGGTTTCGATTAATGGTAATCTATTTCGTTCAGTGAAGAAAGTAATTAAAATAAGGGACGAAACGTGTTATACATAGACCGTTCGTTTCGTAATGAGTTCTATTGGTTACTAATTACCACAGTGACGTATCTTCTAACTGTATCTATAATATATTGTACGTTACATGCCTTCTGTCAATCTGTGATCACACTTTTTAGGTATGATTGTTCAGTAGCGAGGCGCGGCGCAGTTTTCAATTTTACACGATTGCAAATTATTACACGAAACGAACGTGCAGTGGAGCTCTTTTTTTTTTCTCTATTATTCATAAAACAATTCTATCTCGGGATGGAATGCTGCATTGGACACCAACGTCTCGCGGACCAAAGTACTATACTATTTTGAAACAAATCCCCAAACGATTTTGTCAGAAAAGAATTTTTTTACTCGACAAGTGAAATTGAAAACTGGGAGCGCGGTAAGAACTTTGTAAAAGGTACTGCGAGAATCCGGATTACAGACGAGTACAAAACCTTGGCTACGGTAACTCGATCGGAAGCTTTCGCCGTTCTAAATCGGATACGGAGAACCGAAGGAAAATACCGGGGGAAATGAGAAACGCCGATGACGATGATAATGCTTGAGAAATGGGACCAGGAAAAAGTTTGTTGTAACTACTTTTCCCGGCTACTTTTTTATTATACACTTTTTTTATTCCGACTCGCCGTAAGCTTCGATGATACAGTCCGTCTGCGCGTCGACCGGTTTTACCCATTCAGATTCAAAACCGATAATGGAAATTAAACGAGGAAGAGTTCTTATCGACTCGAATGAATCTCGCCGCGAACAAAGTTTCGACTCGAACGGTAAAATTGGACGAGCGTGATTGTTTAGTTTTAATTGATGAACGCGCGGCGGTCGCGAAACTTATGTTGAAGAGAAACTCTAGCTGACCCTTTAACGAAATCATAAATGTCCGTATACGTATACGTAAGATAAATCGCGTCTAAGACGATAATATTATAATGTAACGATTCATTTATTCTAGTCACTCGTTATCTGTATTATTACGTTCATTAATGATTCATCGTTCCCATTTCAATTCGTTCGCCAATATCACAGTGGATTTTCTATTTAATGTTATTCACGTAGAGATAAGGAAATTAATTAACCGTATTAATCACGATTACGACACGAATACTCTTCTTATCAAATGTACGTGCGATCTAAGGATGTAAATAGCGAAAATTAATTAACACGAGAAATCGACAGGCACTGCATGCGTGTTCGTATCGCTTGTCGTAAAAAGAAATTATATGCATATCTCTTTAAATTCGAATATATATTTACTGTATTTTTCGTCTGAGCAATTTATGCAGTGTCCGTCCAGTGGTACACTTTTCAAACTCTTACTTTGTAACAGAGAATGTATCTCTCTAACTTGTGTAATATACGCGTATCCGAAGGAAAATCTGAAAAGCTATTGTTCCTTTCTTTCGATTGCAGATAGAAATAGCGTAACTCTTAAAGTAAGATGAATAACAAAGGCAACATTCCCATTGTTTCTTTTCGCTTTACCTCCAAGTAATTCTGTTAGATGTTCGAACAGATCGATGAGAGGCCAATTATTTCTTCGTGCAAAAGATTCTATTATCGATTCAATTAAACTTCTTTGCAGTTTGCATTTACGAGGACATAACGATGTCCATACGAAATGTTCGTTGATCGAAGAGGTACCCGAATAGAACTGATCTACGCGTCGTGGCTGAAGTCTTAATTAAGTCACTATCATATCGGCGTCACATATTTCTACGATTAAATTATTATTAAATATTACACGCGTTTTGTTACTGTGAGCTTTTGTAATGATATTCGCGAACATCAAGAATCGTTTGCACGCGACATGTAGTGCACCGATACGTTTACGATACTCCTAATAAATGTACATGTGTAAGTACTTGACATCTCGAAGAACGATTTCTAAAATTAAATGTTTTCTCAGGTAGTCAAGGAAGAAGACTGCTATTTGATATGACGAAAATTTTGTTAGAACAATCGTATCGGCAATTGGCAAGAAATAAACCAGAAACTTCCTCTGACGTTGATTCAATTTCATTATAATAACAAAAAGTTCTGAATCGTTGCCCGACTGTCTGGCTAGATTTATGACTTTCCCGACGAGATTGTCAAGAACTATTATTATAATATATCTAAAACTTCGAGGACCATGAACTCACAATAAAGTTTCTCTCGTTTTCTTGTATAACTGTCGAGCAAGGTGTCTGAAGCGAGGTCTGCTTCTCATCGTGCGAAACGATGATTCTACTACGTATAACTCGCTGCAACGTAATCGATAAGCAAGTAAACAAAAAAAAGGAAACCATATAAAATTGATGTTGTGCCCGAATAAGTGTCCATGATAATAAATTATTTAACCACCGATTAAGGCGACGTAACGTTAGACGATAGAATAGTTACGATCAGTGTTAGTCTAGCTGAGTAGATGGATGTTACCAGAATTATAATTTAAAGCAATGCGAGACTTGCTAGTCGATAGTACACCGATATGAAACACAAATATGTTTATTTTTTACTGAATGTATTTCGCATTGATGTATCTTTTGCAAGCGCCGGCCTAGGCGTTATTAAAAATTAAACAGAAAAAAAATCCCTTGCTTCATTTCATGATTGTACTCAATCGCCGACTATGTAAGTGTAGATTTTATAATGTTCTAATAAAGGGACTTGCTTTTTAGATTGGTCGATGTCGATATTTGCATAACTACAAATTGTTTGTAGTTCAGTTTGCATAGATTTTAGCGACAAAAGTAGATGTAGATTATTTACATGTCGATATGTTTCTTGTTTTATAAATTCTTTTTAAATAGCTATTCACTGCATTTTATTTATACATTTTCAATCTACTTTTATCATATTCTTACTGCCAAAGACATTTAAAACTAAGTTTCACTGTTCCTCAACGCACGGCGCTGTGACCGAAATTTCTCTATAAACAATACACACTGCTCCTAGCAAAGCTTGGAATTACAACAGTTCCTAATATCATTTCATATACCTATTCATTTATATAAAATGATGAGCATGTCACGTGTTTAAAAAGGCAACGAAACAGACTGAGAAACTCCATTTCTTGTAACATCTCACACGTTTAAGGTAAGCACTTAATAAGAGGTTAGTGTTGCATTCTTAACAGAGCATCTTTATTCCTTCGGATTTGATTTTGTAGGCATGGATCCAGAATTTCTTTCTAGACTGATACCACAGAATAAAGAGCACGTGCGTCCAGCATGCAAGAAATGTGGATATGCTGGACATCTTACATATCAATGCCGTAATTTTATCAAAGTGGACCCGAACAAAGAGATTGTTTTAGACGTTAGCAGTACAAGCTCTGATAGTGATGAGAATTATGTTACTCCTTTGACTGAACTACGGGAAAAGGAGCTAAAGAAGAAACTCCAGGAAGCTAAGAAAAAAAAGAAAGAGAAGAAGAATAAGAAAAAATCTAAGAAGCGTAAGAAGTCAGACACTAGCGACAGTGACTCAGAGTCAGAATCTTCCAGCGAGGAAGACAAGAAGCATAAACATAAGAAGAAGAAAAAGAAGTTGAAACATAAAAAGCATAAGAAACACAAGAAGGATTCCTCCGACAGCGATTGTGATAAGAAAAGATAATTTCATTTGACTAATCACTAGCTATTGTAAATATTTAATATGTACATAATACTGTATTGTCTGCGAGTGAGTATATAAAATTACATTTATACAAACTGTTTTCAATCTCCAAATGTAAAAGGAACGAATATAATTTTATATTAAACAGTAAATGTATTCTGATAATTAAAAATAGTTTTGTCCCATGATTATAAGAACAGGCATTTCAGTTCAAATAAAGAAATACGTGACTGTACGCTGTAGATATGTTTATCTTTAATCCTTAGAACCCTTGTCAGAAAATTATTAAATCATTGATTTGAATTCGGAAAAACAACAAAAGAGAGCACATGGTTTTGCTCGCGCAGTCGCAATACTAAAAGAGACGAGAGAAAAGTAAATAGGTTAGACTCATGGACGACTTGACTGTTCCCCCGCCACGGACAGAGCTTCACTCCCCTTCATCAATAAAAACAGTTTATACTCAGTTCTTCAGGGCTATGGTTAGAGTACGCTTCTCTTGATTACGAATGGATCATTAAATAAAACATGACACGGCACGCAAGAAATTGTACAGCTGGTGCTGTTTACACCTACCACGAAAAGAAGAAAGATGCATCCGCATCGGGATACGGTACAAACACACAAAGAGTTGGCAAAGATTCCGTAAAAGATTTCGACTGCTGTTGCCTGACACTGCAACCTTGCAGAAACCCTGTGATAACGTTAGTATACCTCATGTTTCAATCGTCTGTTTCATTGCCTGATTTTACCACGTTAATTTCACACTCGTAGAAAAGATGGGTACTTATTTGATAAAGAAGCGATCCTAGAATATGTTCTAACCAAAAAGAAGGAGTATGCGAGGAAACTGAAGGAATACGAAAAACAAAAGCAGCAGGAACAGGTAACTACACAGTATTACTAAAATATTATTTCGAATCTGGTAATTCTCTTTGTTTCATAGGAACAGTCCAATGAAAAAACTGCCAATGAAGAGCTACAGAAATTGCAAAACTTCTTGAAGGGAGAGAAGACCATTGTTTCCAGAAGTCAGACTGCAAACAATGAATCAAGCTCTTCGGTTTCAAACATGAGCAATGGTAAAGACAAAACATTACCAAGTTTTTGGATCCCTTCCAAAACACCAGAAGCAAAGGAGACGAAATTACAGAAACCAGACAAAACAATTTATTGTCCTGTCAGTGGGAAACCATTGAAAATAAAGGACCTCATCCCTGTGAAATTTACCGAAGTAAAAGACCCAGATGATAAAAAGTCTTTGATTGTTAAACAAGCACGATATATGTGCCCTATCACATTTGATATTCTTAGTAACAGTGTACCATGTGCAGTTATAAAAACTACGTAAGTATTCCTATTTCACTTTTATGTTAATTAATAAGTAATAACTATTTAATATTTGTTCAGAGGTGATGTAGTCACAATGGAATGTGTGGAAAAGATTATAAAGAAGGATTGGATCAATCCCTTGGATAGTACAAAACTGACTGACGCAGATATCATACCTCTTCAAAGAGTAAGTATTAAAAGTATGATAATCAAGTGAAATGTCTAATACTAATATCAATTTGATTTCAGGGTGGTACTGGGTATTCAGCTGTTAATGATTGCTTAGAGGGCAAACATGAACGACCAGTATTACAAGCATAAGTTACATGAATATCTCAGAAATTTTATATACATGTAATATAGTAACTATATTTTGATTTAATAAATTGTTTAGTCGAATAAAATGTGTGTTAAGGTAAAAACTCACCGATTTCAGCTTGTAGACGCCATTACAATCGGTCCTGTCAGCCTTCGGTCCTGTCGGCCTTCGGTCCTGTAGCCCTTTTCGTGATCACCTATAATCAGTCCAATATTATAAAATAACACATAACTCCGATATGTATGTTTAGACTACTTATCAAACTGCATAAATAGTACACTTTAAGCGTAATATCAGTGCTTGGAAACGAAATTTCACGTTATTATTTCGTATTGGAAAGTTTAAAGCGTAACGTTATTCTACGGAATGATTTTTGCACGATTCTTTTTACACTGTCTTCTGTTTGCGTATAACACTGCTCAACTCAATCGCGACTCAACGAATACCAGTACTTCCAAAACTCAATATTAAACAATGTAAAACAACGAAAAACGTACCTTATCTCCACACTCTTTGCCCGATTTGAACTAACAACGTAATTATTAACAGTCTACTGAACATCGACCGATACGAATCGTAACGCGATTGGTCAAGTTCGAAAGTTCCTTCCGCCAATCGCGCGGCTCCTTTTCCGCGCGTAGTTTATCGATCCGAGATCCATCGTAGCTTCCTTCGGAAGGTGTCGCCATCTCAGGTAGCGCGATTTTTTAAAGCGTTCCGAAATTCTGTCGTTCTGTCGGCCAGGCGGCAATCTATGAAGAGTTAGTGTTCACGTAGTGCTTGCGCGCGTTCCTCGGAAACTAGTCTTTCGCCTCCGTTCGTTTTTATTTCTCGTTACGTGAAAAGAATCGAGTGTCAGGATCGGTGAAAGAGTGTCGAAGCGGTGATGATTTCTCGCCAGTAAATAAAAGGTGAGTGTCACCCTGCGTAAGTGTCACTCGCTCATTATCGGACGTTTGCTCGTCGCACGTGTAATACCACGGCGATGACCAAATTCACGATACACTTTGCTCGCGAAATGTTAAACGTTCGAAAACAATAACAATCAGTTGTATAGCCTGCGTTATCGTGTCCGTCATACGATCTTGTACATAAGTTTCCAGCAACACCGAGTCTATGATAGATTCAGGAAGTAGGACATGCAAATGCATTGATTAGTTGGCTATCGACAGCGATAACGCGATCAGTGCAACGTGGAGAGAATTTCGGCGCGTTTTCTGCCTCGTCCAAGGAAGTACGTGCGTTAACAACGAATCGTTTAACAAACAAAACCGTGACGCTATGTAAAAAAAATGTCACGCATTAGCTGTGCCGATATATATTTGAAAAATTTATTTTCTGCTTTTTCGTTCACGCGTTCGCGGGTTTAACCCGATTCTCGACTATCGTACACCGCGATGTCTCATTTTTCACGATCTTGCATTTTCTGCCAGCGTCAGTCCCAACGTATCGCGTACACGTTAAAGCATTTCCTATTTAAATAAAGACATTTCATCAACGAAAAACACAAGAGGCGAAGAATGCCTCGTTGCGTCGTCTAAATCAATCTTAACTTATCGATCGTATTGATTTTCTCTTGTCTCGCTGTACCCCGAACGTTGCTCACAGTTGATTTAATCTAAACGATTGAAATCAAGATCGTACGTACGTACAATTGACGTACGGTCGAAGCTGAACGCGAGACAGTTTAAAAACTGAATTCGCACCTTATGTCAGTACTTAAGGAGCTACGCGAGTGAACGGTCCATTAGGTATTATTAACGATAAAGATCAATTCCTGAAAGGCAGCGTTATTGTACTTAACTCGCGGTTAAACATTCGTTTATATACAATTGAAGTCGTAAAGATAGAACGTACCACGACGATCTAGTTTACTAGCAAGCGCGATGTAATTTACACGCATTTACCGATCTTCTTGTTCGCTATAATTAACAATATATAATATAAATCCCTTATAAATAATTGATAGACCCGCGCTCGCTAGGAGAAGAAGTCCATTACGTTGCATTAATCACTCGAAGCGTTAGACAAAATAGAATGCAAATTTATTGGTAATACGTATGTTGGCATACAATAATGCGCTATCCAATGGTAAGATAACTTCCATGCAGATAGCGATAACTATTTACGTTTGCATATGTATATATGTATGTATAATATATATATATATATATATATATATATACATATATCCGTATTTTCAAGTATTGTATAACGCAAGCGCACACGCGTACGTACGCGAAACCTTGTTATATCACTAAGCACATCTGCAGGCCGTCTCGTCTACACACCGCCAACTGCGTAACGTGCATGGATTCTTACATGTGCTCGCAGCCGGCCATGTGTAAGTGAGCGTACGTAATAGAAGGTTAAGCTAGGTTGACCGACCATGATGCGGAGTGCATGCGTAACGAATAGTTCACGCCGGCCGCGGTCGTACGTGAGAGCAAAAACACGATACCGCGGTGCATGTGTTTTCGTGCACGCGTCGATGATAAGCGACGACACAACGTTATATCATCGTCTACGAGTGGCGCACACCGCGTATATTGCGACACCATCCGCCGCAGTTCTTTCACCCATCCAATTTGGCTCGGGGAGATCGCAGATGCAAATCGATCGCGTTTCAACTTGCCGATTATATCAATCGGTCGCCGCCGAGTCAATGCCTCGACGAACTTGAAACGAATTAATCGTCGATCATTCTTTAATTACTGTTTGAATAACGCGATTGATTGTATATATGTACTTTATCGATTTCCATTCGTGACATCGATTGAAAAAATGATTTATTTCACCTTTCAATAATAATTACGTGCGCTTTGAAGTTTTCTAAAAATACGTCAAATTGGCAATTTATTTATTGCGACTATCGTCTTTTATTCATTGGTTGTATTACGTTCGTTAAAATTTCGCATTGACCTTCTCACAGCTGTTTACTATCACTAATAGCCCGTCGCACGAATAATTAGCGTTATTACCATTCTTCCGGAATCGTCATACATCGACTAGCTATACAATTTATATGTAAAAAACGAAGACTCATTCCCGGCACTGGTTCCCTACAGATAAACCGATTTTCGCTTTTAAAGCCGCCGCGGCTCGTTCATTAACAACGAAGTTAAAGAGAAAGTAGGAACTGGCGGCAGTTCACTACCGTACGTGACTCGCCTTTGTTGTATTTACTAGACGTACTAAACTACTGACCTCTCTTCCCAAGAAACGTGTAGGCACGCCCGTGCACCTAAACGTAATCGTAAATACGCCCGTCACGCTTGTCATAGGCAGGCGACTTCTATCTCTTGTCAGGGATCCTTGTCTTATCGACTTGTATCCTTGTCTTATCTATTCCGCTCTACTTGATGTGCATAAATTCTTGCCACTAAAATCGTGCCCCTCCGAATTTGTCACGTTTATTTTATTATTTATTTACACATTTTTCAAATTGCCAAACGGAGATTTCTTTTATATAATGAGAATCACAAAAGACACTTTTCTTCGAAAAGTTTAAAAGTGATTTCATGATACTAAGAAGCAGCTGTCGTTTGCACGATATGTATGAGCCATAATTTTCTTCTTCGTCATCCGTTCATTGAATTACGGCAGATTAATGGATCGCGGAAAGATCCGAGGCGATTAGATCCTCCTTGACGCGACGATTCCTACCACTCTGATTTTCCTACGGGAAAAGTTTTGGCCGGAGAATTCTCGGCGATCAGGTGAAAATTACGAGGCGAGCGGAAACTGTTAGTCACGATCGCTCGTTAATAAATGTATAGTTGCCCGGTCACCAATGCTTCGTATACACTTTAAACGTTACGTAATAGATCTTGCGTGTTTTGCGGTGCGCATTACCTCATTCTCGAGTATGGCGCGGTCATTTTCCCACCGTGGACTACCCTCCCTCCTGGCTCGAATACGCGTGAACTTGTTTCCGCTTCGGGAAAGGCATTTCCCTTATCCTTGCGAAATTCAAAACAGGATGCGGGACACTTTGTCATTTGCAATTTTAATTGATTCACCGAGAAAATCGTTCGTTCACCGGAAAACCGAATCCCGTTCCTACAAATATGTCTACGTATTATTACGTCTTATTTCAATGATTCTTCTAATGCGCTTCGGACAATTACGGTCTCTTTTTTTTTTGACCGTTGATCACGGAACGATCTACGGATCGTTCAAGTATTTACGTAACGTAATATCGGTCATGCACAAATCAGGGGGAAAAAGTGAATCATCATCGATTACACTTGCTAGGCTGCAGCATAGACGATGGCTTCCTCGTTAAACCTTGAATTAGTAATCTGCCCCTGAGGTGATACTCCGCGCGATAAAAGAGTCGTCTAATTGTAGGCTTTCCCGATATCGCATTGGACCTTAACAGAAATCTCATTGAAAAAAATCCCGTGATCATTATGACGCGTTTGTAATCTTGACTTTGAAAATTAAACGTTTGTACAATTCTAATAGCCTGAATATTCATACACTCTCTGTAGATTTGCATCAACCAGTAAATATGTTTTTTCTTTTGCGGTCGCCTCTTAGATGGTCAAATGTTATGACTGACATCGCGATATTTGTTCTCGAGTAGACGCTAAGCGAATATTGCATAATTGTTTCCAGTCATTATACCGGAAACATAATCTTTTACTTCATAACACGACTCCCGCTCGGTTCCCGGCTCTGGTCGAGCTAATAGCGTTGGACCAATTAAACCGGCTTATTCTTGAATCATTTAATATACGCAAACCATCGTGAATAAACATTTTATCAAGACTTTTAAAAAAACAACTGACACGTAACAATTATTTAGAATTTATATCTGTTACCAAGGATAAATATGTCCAACGTTTCGATTGGTCTCTGCATCGTAGTCTTGTTATTTGCAGATACGTATCAGACCTCTCGACCTTTTTCCTACTTAGATCGCACTGAACGACAGTAGACGCATTTTCATGGAAAGTGTGAGTGACCTAATTTCGCACGCGCTTCTATTTCAGAGATTATTCACCAATCAGTTTGAATCACCGTCGAGCTCTGATCTCTTTCCCTTTTTGTTGAATCGATGCGTGCACAGTTTCAAGAATCGTGTAAGCCACACTGCAAGTTCGAAAAGGGTTTGTCACACGAAGGATTGCCGTTTACAATATAGACTCGAGTATTTCTTCACGTTTCATGGACGGTCAAATACCTCGTCTTGAACAGATATCAAAAGTCGATCGAACTCTCGTTTTAAATTCCTCGAAACGAGACGAATGTGACTTATATCCATTCGCATTCTCACGTACATAATTAATCTCAGTTTACAGTACGGATGCACGCGTGCTTTTTTCCTAATACTTTTTATTCACGCATCGATAAGTGGAAACGGAAAGAATGTTATATTAATCCTACTGTATTGCCTAAGAGCGTATCGTCATTACACAATCGTGAACGATCCGATTCTTCCGGGAACTTGATTTTCCTTGAAACAAATTTAGACGAATCGAACATTTTCGAATTTCATCGAGACGAGAAACTGTTTATAGAATTTCGAATTTTTGCAACAGTTCGACCTACGACCTCACGTTCCGAGCTGCGAGTAGTGTGACCCAGTCAAGATCGCCGGCGGCTAATCAGAAACCGTGGTTTGCACGGTGGATTCGAAAAGGTCAAAGCGTTTCAAATGCAAATAACATTTCTCCCGTAAGGGTACATAATACCGGTCGGTGATTGCACCAGGAGGCGTGCGAGTCCAGTTGGTTTATAACGTTGTTTTATGCCCGATAATAATTATTCGCGTCCCGGCGCGCGGAACATCAAATTCAATTCCGAAACCATTGACCGAGCCGCGCCGAGACGCGTGTTGCATTCACTGCCAGCTTCACTTTCCCCGTGTGCCCCGTTGGATATCAGATATAACCTGCAGGCAACGTTTCCTCTGAATTCTTACTTTCGCACCGTTGACCGATATTCATCAAGCACAAACCAAACGTTGCAGCTTTAACACCAGTTACTAGGAAATATGTATAACTCTTCCCATGACGTCTTCTGCCAGACGTTGGTCTACGACAGTGATGGGCAAACTTTTTTAATGGGGGGCCACAAAGTTTAAGAAATTCTAGAGGAGGGCCAGAATTATAGAAAAAATGCACTTTATACTTCTCGACCGTGAAAACGTAATTATAGCGGGCCATATACTATCCATGTCGATGGGCCCTCGGCGGGCCGGATTAAATAATTTCGCGGGCCGGAGTTGGCCCGCGGGCCGTACTTTGCCCACCACTGGTCTACGATATGCTTGTCTTTCAGCGAGCGAATAGAAATCGTTGATCGTAAAGGCGATCGGGCCGTGTGCGTGTAAAAAGGTTGCCGGCGAGATAAACGAAGTCCAATTGCCGCAAATATTTAAAACGACGGCCTTGCGTGCGCTGGAGTCAGTTCCTGGCCAAGTTTTACGTCACAGGTCAAGCACATAGGGGACACTGAAAACGAGTCGCACTATCGGTGCACCGTGCTTCCAGCAGTTCATTACGTAATACAGCATTGATAAGGAAATAGGGTAAGGTCGCCTTGACATTGCCGTATCGTAAATACGATCCAGTTGTTCTTTATCGAGGAAGATTCTCGCCGCGCGCCTCGCCTAGCGTCGTCGCGTCGTTTCAATAAAGCGGTCGCGCGATCTGCACGAGCGGACAGACCTTTGAAGCGAGCTACTACTGGCTCGGGCGAATGTACACTCTCGCCGACCGGTCATCGCCGAACATCGGCCGGTGAATTCGATCGGTCGATTGAAATGCGCATAGCTTACGCAACAACCGTTCCCTACGATAATAATTACTCGGGAACGAGCCTTCTTCCCGATAATGCCTCGCTAACGATTACGATCGAAACGCCTATCAAATCCTTCAATGTTCCCGTCGAACTCTTATACGAACCGACACCTCTGAAACGAAGACCCGTTTCACCCTCTATCTCTACTCGGTAGAAAATTCGAAAGGTACGATCGTTATCGTAGCGCATCGGATAATTCATTACGTAATCGAGTTAATGCGAATCGCGCGAGCGATCGTATACAGAAGTTACGATGATTTTATAATAGCCAAATAGATTGAACATATTATATCATGGAAATACGCACAGTCTGTACGCGTAACAGGTTGATCGGCTCTGTTGATTACGTTACATTATATTATGTACGCGTAGATACGTACGTACGTACATACGAGGCGTTATTAGATTTTTGTATGTACCTCTCGCGATGGAATCTGTTCCTTCATCGATCGCAGCAATGACGAAACACAAAAACCTGTTTCCTCGGGTACTAAAGTTTACGATTAAAGAAGAGCCGGCTTAAAACACTCGTATTTTATAATAATCGTTTGATATATGACTAGAAATAATTGAACACTCGTTTAGAATCGCGGTATAATATATTATATTGGATCCTCAGAAAGGTCGTGTTCGCACAGTCTTTAATCGAAAAATGTACTTTCACTCGGCCATTTATAGATCACTCGCCAAGAAGAAGTTAGGAATATATTAATACTGTCATAATAACAATATCGGGGTTCGCACATTGTCGTATCTGGCTTATGAATGCCATAATAGGTTCGGAAACTCGAGGATACAGATGTTGAAAGCGGACGGGGTACCGTGTTAAGTGAAAAGATTCTAACGACCCTTCATTGCCACCTGACACTCTTGTGTGCCTATACAAGCGTAATCCTATCGTAAATATAATATAGTGATTCGGTCTTCTGTCCATTCAATTCCCTACAATTGGCGCAGCGTCAATTTCATTTCATCGTTTCCTCCGATTAATCAAAGATATTTTTAACACGCTCTCGCATGATCAACCAACGGATGATCTACTTCTAGAAATTAATTTACATGCAGGTATTTTAATAAAAGTGTACGAAGAACTGAAATATCTACTTGGCCCAGGGTTAAACCCGCGTCCTCTGCTCCACCTGCCTCCTCCGATTCTCTATATCGCCGTTGTTTAGCCGACGAATGGGCCGTTTTTATAACTGGCCGATGCGGCGATAGGGGATGTCGTCGGCAAGACATAATCTGTCAGGCGCAGGCTTGATGACGTTTATGTAATCACGTGGTTAAATTGTTGTACTGTTGTCGGTGCGCTTATGTAACTGGAATTCAGCAGCACGAAAATGTGCACCATGATCAGCGGAATATCGTTCCGATAGATTCACCACCCCTGGCAACAAGTTTCTCAACCATCCAGAAATATTAAATATCTGAACCCTTTCAGAGTTTAGACGGGAGGACGATTTATTGTTTTATGTATTAACTTCTTGCCAGGAGTAACGCATTAGATGTTTGGAAAGGTTTTTACCTCGGAATCTTAATTAAACACGTGGGTGTTGCACATTTCCGTTTCTATAATCAACAACCATCGTGTTATAACAGGGAAGTTCGACTTTTATGTATGTCCTATCGTGGCTAAGATCGACTATTAGATCACGTCTGAGGAAACGCTGTTATGTTAAAAGATATAGCAATTGATAATCATTTTCATGCCTGAACGAACTGTGAAATTCTTGGTACGCGGTAAATTTTGACGTACTGCCTCTATTAATTGTTGAGCAACACCGAGTATGAGTTATTTAGTGGACTCGACGATATTTATTTCCAATATACGTACGAACGTTCGTAAATGATGTAATTTATTTCCCTGTCTCGATTTAACGGTTCGCGCGTTTGAGGAGGGCCGCATTTCTTCTCCGAGTCAACGATCTCGATGCTTAATTAATGAGTTATCGGGCCAATTATAAAAACGTACAATAACCGAAAGAAGAGAGATCCATTGATTTGTCTCCGAGCTCCAGGTGTCTCGTGAACTCGCTCGAAATTCATTTGCCTTAGAATTGTTCTATCTGACATTAACGAGATCCGTTCCAATTAGATTTCTTATTCATACTATTTATACATGAAGAAGTATAAACGTAAGCCGAGCCGTTCTCATGGTATATCCTTTCTTTGCAATTTTAATCGCTGCTCGACACATAGTTTCTGTTCGCGCGACTCCGGCAACCGACACGAATAAGTATTTGTTTTCGTGAGACGAGTATCAAATTTTTGCAGATCGACAGATTCAAAGGACAATTTTAAAAGAACATCAAGTAATATTACTTTACTCCTGAAATCTTTATAATGGATTCTAAGTGACACGGTACTTTGTACTGTGATTGCAGATCATTGGGCCATGCAGCCAGATGAAGAGACGTGTGGAACTGCTCGAGGCAGATTTGAGGGTACGTACTCCACAATTTTCTATCATTTATGATTTAATAAACAATTTTTTCCAAAAAAACTGAGGACTACGTTTATGATACCAGAAATAGACTATTTTGTCTCGTGCGATATTTATTTTAAACGATTATTCTTTTCATTTGGATTCAAGCAAATGCAAGTCTGATATTTTTCATGGCTGTATTGTTGAATGTATAAATAGTTTTCTCATGCGAGTATAATCCACTCGAAGTATTTTAAAGACAATGAATATTACAACATTCGAATTAACATAACAGAAAAGGAAGGTGACGCGAATCGTGGCTCGTTACATGGGAATAATCAAGGGTAGAAAGAATATGCTTTCACGAGCGTTTTCCGGGATACTGTTACAGAAGGTTGACCAGTGTTATCTTACCAATCAACCCGACGAACAGAATCGAGGAATCCCTGGTCACTCAGGAATCTGAGAAAATAATTGATACCTATACGTTGAAACCGAAGAAGGTCCGATAGACGAATGAATAATACATGTACAAAAAACATTAATCTTCAAATGAAAATAATACTATCGAGAAGAGTCTGTTGTTAGCTATCAGTAGTGGATGCGTTCATAGAAACGTGCAGAAATAATACATGAAGCGCTTTAAAATTACGAGTCAATAGTTGTTTCATTCACTGGTAATTTTTTGTTGTATTCAACGTATCGACGAAATAAATCAAAAGAGAAGAAAGAAAAAGGGGGCAATTTTTACTCGTCGCATTTGAGGATTACCTATATTCAATAGCGATATGTGTGTCCCGTTCCAAAAATTTACGCCCGTTAACAAAGGTTGAGGGATCCGAGAGCTCGCGTCGTTTCTAATAATTGGATAAGCGTGCGGCAGGAAAAAAGCGAGTGAGAGAGAGAGAGAGAGAGAGGGAGGGAAAGAGAGAGTGCGAAATCAGCGTAAATTAATCGAGCAGGCTGATCTCCGGTTACGGAAAAATCACGCTAACGAGTACGCACGGGCCGATTTAGAGAAGGGATCGGGAAACGTCTCTGTGGTCACTTCAAACGTTCGATGCCGATCGCAAATTGGGGGATGATAACAGTGGGACGAGGGACGATGCATCGATGACGACAATTACCGCTACGTTACAAACAGATCGCGTTTAATTCAGGTAATTAACGTTAATTAATACAGTGCACGAAGTCTCGATGCGCTGATCGCGGATCAACAGATTTCCTAGGCGGTCGTCCCTTGACGTGGTGCGTCGAAAATACATCAAAATATCTTGGGGAAACGGCGCTAATCATATCGTTAATACGATGACGTAATCGTTCATAAATAATGAAAGAATTATCTTCGAACGAATTCACGTTGCACGACTGCGCGTATGCATGCGACGAAGAATGATGTACCACGATTCTTACAACATGAAAGAAACTTTTCTCATAAAACATCTACCTCCCCAGTTTCTTCCGAGTTCCTCTTGTTCGAGGACTCGTACAACGAGTCTGCAAACGTCATTCCGTGGCTTCATTGTATCTACAGAAAATCACTATTTAAATGAAAAAAAGTAGAAGACAGAATCAGAAATAATAGCGAAATATATAATATTTCGCATTACGTTTCGATGAGAACGTGTCCCTTCCTCACGGCCTCGTTTGTTATGAACAACGATATCTTTTACTTTTTATTGAATTCTGCATACGCAAGACGGGAATGCTCGTATTAGCTTTTGACCTGAACAATGCTCGTTTCATTGGCTTCCCTTGGTAGATATCGCGATAGAAACTCTTGAAAGTTCACGATTCAACGGTGATAATGCCAGCTCGCAAATATTATGATAAACGTCGTAGACGAACAGCGAACGTAGACTTTTTAAAATTTCTTCTAGTATAATTATTCGAACGATGTTCGCTGCAATTATTTATATCGTTTTCACGCTCGTTCGATTCCTAGTCGTCCAACACCGTTTCGTCTTAAATTCATCCCCTGCGAGGGAGTAACCCTCGATTTTTTCAATGACCCCTTGCGTACAAGGGAAAGAAACTCGAGGGACGAGACTTCCATTGTTCACTCGTTTCATTCAAATTCTCGATACTCTGCCTACACCAGTTTTTTATTTATCTTATTATACGAGTATATTTGTTCGATTGAATTTATGTCAGAATGGGGTGAAACATGTATTTACTAAGCTTGCGAACGTGTAGGAAGTCGTGTTCTTTTAATCACCTATTCGAGACAATTAGCATCGTATCAGAGATAAGACAAATTACAAGATATCGATGTCACTTTTCAACATGTCGCGTAATACGCAGTTCTCGAGCTGTTTGGATGACGGAATCGTTTCCAGGATGCAAACAATTATTACGTTTTTTCACTGCGATCAGCTGTGTCAATGGACATCGGGTCGAGATTTCTCGATACGAGTCAGACAGCTACTACATCGTCTTTTTAACGAAACTAAATTTATATCTTGACGACGAGGCAATGATTCTGCGCAGAGTACTCTTGTAAACTCGGATCCTTGAAACAAGATTATCGTTGATGTCATCCTAACGAGATTAAATGTATCTTCCCGCGCTACTTCAGATAAACATCATTGATAAAACGCAACACTTTGCCGATAAAGACAGAATCGTGTGAATCAGAAGATAGTCGCTCCCAGGAACTCGTCCTCGACATTGAAACTGGTGACAAGCCACGATATTCTACATTTTTTTACGGTCACAATTACGAATCGATCAACGACGACGTTCCCTCGATGACGCGACGCACCAAGTCTCTTCCGGCGAAAGACGACTGAAGAGGAGCAGCGATCCGTCTCGTGACGTTCCGACGGTATTCAGTTTGTCCGCCGACAGGAACTGTGTCGAGTTTTCGAAAACGTAGTGTGTCAGTAATAAGAACGAGCGACGCGGCATAATTCGAGTGTCTCTCCCCCACCTATGCCGGTGGGCCAAAGCCGAAGGAAGAGCACGTGGTCATACCGTGGTGATCTGCACCGTGGCCAAGATCCACCATCGCCATCGGCGTCGTTCCACTTCCACCTCCGGCTGGATCACCACCTCCAACAACCACCACCTACTACCGCCACCCGCGCTCAGTGTTCGTTGGCCGTCACGGGCGAAGAGTGCGCGTGAGTTCGAACTCGCTTCGCCCCCCGCCGTTTCCACCTCTTCTACGAGAAACCACCACCACGGTACGCGACACAACACCACTTCGTGGTTAACAGTAGTGGTTAGTAGTAGCGGCACGATCGCGAAGGTTGCCGACGACGTCGTCGTCGTCGTCGTCGTACGTGGTTTCTACACGCCGCGGTGTGGTGAACACGCATCGGTTGCGACGACCGTATCACCGGAAGTCGGTGGCCGGCGAACTCCCGCTGCTCTTCCGGTCGAGCCACGTGGTCCTTCGTCCGAGGACAAAACTCGCGCGGTACCGAGCTCGTTGGATCGGCGAGCGCGGCACGACCTCGTCGTCGTCGAAGAGGCACCCTCGAAGCACGAGGGCATCGACCGAGAGGAGGGAAGGCGAGAGGCCTTCTGCGCTCCTCGAGGATGCCGCCGCTTCCTCGTCGTCGGCGACGACGTGGATGTACGCGCTTCTCGGTAAGCTCGATGCCCGTCCCGACGGGCCTCGCGCCGTCAACGTGGTTGCAACGCGCGAACGACTGTGTCACGGTGTGTCCAGACGCGAAACGAGGAATTATTTCTACGTCCCGATGCGTCGAAACGACGTTTCTGTCGTTTCTTCGATCTATCCTTCCTGGCCTCTTCTTATACCGAGTGCGATTATTATTTGCTGTGGTGTCGTTGGAAATGTTTGGTGCAATGACGTGTGTCAGTGAATACATGCTCCGTTCTTTTAGGATACTATGATCTCGTGCCTCCGGAATCCCACGTCGCGCGTCAAAGGTACCTCCCCTATTTTCTTCATTAACGATCACCTACGATTCTAATCGTACACCTTCATCATTCGAACACTTATCAGCTGGCATATGTAACGTCTCGTGACGATGATCGTTCCGTCTTCAAAAACGTCGTGATAATCGTCCACTTTCGACGCAATCGACTTCTCGTGTATTCTTGATTAAATGTCAGTAATACTTCAATCCTCGTTCGTTGATACGAACTATTATTCTATTCTCTTTGCCGTTTAATTTACTTCGATAATTACCGTAACGTTCTTCGATTGTTCTCTTCTGGTCTGATACGATCGACATTATCATCTTATCAGGGACTATTATGGTCCAGATATCACCAGCAGCACCCTTTTTATGGACCTCTCAAGGTGAATTGAATGCAATCACGACGTAACGCACGGACTCCTCGCCATGCGTTCGTATTAATGAATAAGAGTAGTTTTGTTTACGATTCAGAGACGTCTATCTTAACAATAATCAGATTAACTATCTTTGCAGCAATTTTAATAGATAACATTTATTGCTACAATTAACGAGTGATCATATTTTTCAATGTCCAAAGCTTCTTAAAGATGTACTGGCTATACAGTCAATCCCAAAAGTTTATGTACCTT